TTGCTCTCTCTCTCTCTCTATCTCTCACTCTCGCTCGCTCTCTCCCTTTCGCTCTTTCTCTCGCTCATTCGCGCTCTTCTGTCTCACTGGCTCTCGAGCTCGATCTCTTGCTCCCCTGCTACAACAATATCTATCTCGTTCTCTCTCTCTCTCTCGCTTTCTCTCTGTTTCACTCTGGTTCTCTCTCCCACACAGACTCACTCTCACACGCTCTTTCTCTCTTTCTCGCTCTCTCGCCCTCACGCTCTCTCTCCCCCTCTTTCTCGCTCTCTCTCTCCTCCTTTCTCTCGCTCTCTCTCACTTTCCCTCGCATGCTAAATCATGTAAATTTCCAGTATCTGGCGCACATGGACAAAACGGGTCGACCTTCGCCGCAGCATCTCCATGGTGACGGCCAGGCGGAAATCGGTAATTCTTTGACTTCACAGGCCCTTTAAACCTTTTAAATAAATTTCATTAAGCAAAATGATTTCGTCAATCCTATTTTGCCCTTCTACCCCACCAAAACACACCCTTTCAGACAGTAATCCACGCCCAAAGGTTTGTTTCCGCCTCAAAGAGTCGTCGATTTTCAAAAAGCCGATTTTTTTGCTCTTTTTCTATGCGTATTCAAAGTGAATTTTGCGATTGCGTACTTTTGCGTCTTTCCGTGCTGCTTTGCCGCCTATCCCGCCTTTCTATGGCTTCACCGTATTTTTCCGCCCCTTTTCTGTATATCGGCTGGTTTCCTGTATTTTCTAGAATTTTTTGACCTCAAAAACAACCATTTTTTGCAGCATACGGTGGGCACCGACGAGAACGGACGGCGGACGTCTATGCTGCTCGGGTTCCGAGACATTACTGGCAACGGCAACGGACCGGCCGGTACGGTAGTTGGGGCAATTTTTAGGAAAACGAAAATTCATCAGCCAGAGGGTGCCGATTTAAATATTATAGATTTTAATAATGCTTATTTTTATAAGTAAGATAGTATCATTTAAATATTCTGATTTTGGTGCTTTTGCATTATCGGTGGGGGCAGAATTGGACTTTTGTAGAAACCTAGAAATGCCTATTAACAGAATTTTTGGGTGGTTTCAAGACACCTCTAGAACAATTTCACTGGATTTCCCTTGGAAAACTATCGAAAAAATGCAAAAAACTTTCAAAATTCGCAAATTTGAAGCGTCGTTTTTTGTCGAAAATCGATTTTTTTTTGCATTTTTTAAGAAATTGTATTTGTATTTTTTTATTTCTCGTAAACCGACGGTATGAAAATCGGCACATAAAAATCGGTATTATTAAAATCGGTATCCTTTCTGACAGTAACCCTCGTGGCTCAGCCGGTAGAGCATCAGCCCCTCAACATAAAGGTCGAGGGTTCGACTCCCCGGACCTACAAACTTTTTGATTCTCGCTCAAAATAACACAAATTATATTTTTTTGCTATATTTAACGTCTAAATAATCTAATATGCATATTTTTAGTGGGTGCGGTTCCCGCGTCACCCTCCCCTCCTCCCCCAATCGAACGGTTCATTCCCCTCATTCCCGAGCACCATTGTATAGAAGATGAGTCGCCCATCAGATGCTATGTCAATGGTAGGTACACTTTTATACAGTAACCCACCTACCGTATCCCGAAAACCCACAAAAATTTGGTATTTTTCTAGTCATTTGAATGAGCCGGACGGCCGTTGTTGCCCGGTAAGCAAAAATCGCTCGCCACTCCTCCTGTCCTCTTTTGCTGTCCTCGAAAAAATTAAGGGCCGTTTTAAAGGGATTGTCAAGGCATGGTTATGGATTTTTGGCCATGGATTTCGTATGGATTTTGCCGCCAGTTGCGCTGCTATTTTCTATAAGAATGTCCAGATTCCAGAATTTCGAAATCTGACAATATCGAAATATCAGAATGTCGGAAATGTAGAATCTCGAATTCCTACAAAATCGAGCTTCCGTGATGTCGAAATAACGAAACATCGAAAATATAAGACGAAAAAATGTCTAAATGAATTTTGACATTTTCGAATTTCGAAAATTTCGGATAAGGAAAAATCCAAAATACCGACAGCCGAAATGCCGACAATTCCAAATGCATTTAACCAGGAAACCGACAAGCCAAAATGCCGACAGGCCAAAATCTCGACAACCAAAATGTCGACATCCGAAATGCCGACAGACGAAAATCTCGACAACCAAAATGCCGACACGCCAAAATGCCGACAACTAGAATTCCGACAGGCTAAAATGCCAACCACAAAACACCGACATGCAAAAGAGACGTTTAAAAGGAAGTGGAGTCCAAACTAGCGTCTAGAATCTGTCGGCATTATGGCTTTTTCGCGATTTTGAAATTTTGGTATTTTGAGAATAAGCATAGCGCCGCGGCAAAATCCGCAACGATCCGCATAACCTACAATAATCCATAAGCATGTCTTGCCAACCCCTTTAAAACTCGCCTGCAAGACCACTAAATGCTGGATGGTATACCGCACTTTTCAGGGTACGACTCCGCGACGCCTCGATTTCTATCGCCAGCTCATTGCTTATCGCCAAGGGATACGGTGGTGACGATTGGGGACGAGACGCCGAGTTGTCCACCTAGCCCATGTTAGCCAAAGCGTTTTAAAGGGACTGAGAAGGATAAATTTTAGTGAATTTCGACGTTTTGTACAAAATCCAAATTCATGGCTCGTTTTCCTAGACTTTCCAGGCCCTTTAAAATCGCTTTTTGCGCGAATTGTTGGGTAGTCTGCGTTTTAAACGAAAAATTGGAGTCAATTTTCGACGTTTTAAAGGGTCTGAGAAGGCCAAAATGGGCGAACTCCAATAACCTTACTCGATTTTCTCCAATTCCCAGGTCTTTTAAAATAAATTATACGTATTTTTTTGGGTATTTTGCATTTTATGCCTTTTAGATCAGATTAAGAACATTTTGTGCGTTTAAAGGGACTGTGAAGGCAGGATTCTTGTGGATTTCGACGTTTTAAGCCAATTCGAAATATATAGCTCAATTTTCTCACTCCCCAGTCCCTTTAAAATCAATTTAATGCACATTTTGGGTATATGTTCGTATTTAAGAAATCTAAAAATCCTTTTTAATTCGAATTTTTATGCATATCCTACAAAAGCCCTTTTTAAAACCCTTAATTACCCGATTTCCTACCGTATGCCTTGTCAATATTTGGATAATTTTGGCTTTTCCTCAAATCCTCAACCTATTCGCCTCAAATACCGGTCTTTGTCTTCGAGTCCATTTTTATTGTCATTTTTCGGCTTTCGTACCCCACATTTTTGGGGAGCAAACTTGAGAGATTCCTATAGATTCGGTGCATAAAGAATATGATATATTGCGTGTCTGTGTTTTTTGCCATAAAGAGATAAAGAATTCGATATTTTTTTGCGGTGTTTGCATACCACTAGGTAGTAATTAGACTATTAAATAAAGCTAGCAAAGATCCTTGAGGAAATGAGAAATACGAAATCCTTTGGGAAGGCGAACTAGCATAGATCATTTCGGAAACAGGTCTTGGGCATGAAAAGGTATAGGGAATTCATGTTGGTAGGCGGGCAGAGACAATTTGGGAAATCTTCATCTAACTACAAAGCGATGTTGATTTAAATTTGTAATCTGCGGTTCTAGGTTATTTTTAACTAAATCATCCAATCCTAAGCAAGTGGTCAGATGGCAGAGATTATTTGGGAGCACATTCGCCTCTAAAAATATTTCCGAACCCCTGAAGTGCAAAATATGAAGATGGACTGGGCGGGGGGCAATAACAAAAATGGCGTATACATTTCCGGGACCCTTACGTCTCGGGGGATTCCATTTAAGGAAAGGGTCTGACAGTTTATCTCTCGCTATCTCACGCTCTCGCTCTTGCTCTCTCTCTTTCTCTCTCACCCTCTCTAATCCACCTGGCCCCATTTAATTTCCTGTCGAGGTAAAAGCCGTCGTCAGGGAAGAGGAAAGTGGACCGCGGCCGGGGCTGTGAAATTAGAGGGCCGGATGGGAGGGGGAGGGCCCGAAAAGACGAGAGAGACAGAGATAGAGAGAGAGAGAGAGAGAGAGAGAGAGACGGGCTCAAAAAGGGGAGAGGGCCCAGAAGAGGGGGAGGGCCCTGGCGGCTTCGATCCACACGCGAAGGGCTTCCTATCCCGGGGGCCCTCATATGACTACTCCGAAACTCGTTCCGCTTCAATTTTAAAGCAGTTTAACTTGTGAAATATGTACTTTAGTTTGTAGTGCTTTGAATTACACATTTTAAAGCGTTTTTTTAATGATTTTTAGGCAAGAAATGGCGCTGACAGCTTCGAGAAGCAGCGACAAGAATTCGGGCAGCAACCTGCGGGCTGAGAACATTTTGGGCGGGTTTAAATTGTGGGTTTTTAGACGGAGCTTAATTTTTTTGACGGGTTAAAGGACCGTTGAAGGCAGGGGAAAGCAGTGGATTCTTAAAGGGATACCCAATATTTTAGCGGAAACTATATAGTTATGTATTCCGGAGAGTACAAATGACGCGTGAATTTTGTGCGGTAACGGACGCCCAGTGCCGCACGGAATTCTGCTTTTCCCGTCCCCATCTTAAAGGGCACGTTCAGAGACGTTTTTTTGGAAAAAAGCAAAGGCTTTTCCCGCGGCCGGGGGTCGAACCCGGGCCCCCCGCTCGGGAGGCGCGAACGGATACCAGTCAGCCACAGCTACAACCTGGCAAGGGGGCGAAGGGCGCCCCACGCCGCAAAGGAGGGGAATGGCCTGTCACAGCACGGGCAGGCAGTGCGCGCGGTCCCTACGTCCATAGGGTGTACACGTTGGGACGAGTACACGGCCCCTCCCTGAACGTGCGCTTTAAGCAATGGCTTGCCACTATGGCCTAATGGATAGCATCCAGGTCTTCAAAACGAGGGTCCCGGGTTCGACCCCCGCCCGCGTCATGGTTTTTGCTTTTTGAGCCTCGCAAATGTTGGGTATCCCTTTAAGAATACGAAGAATCGGAAATTAAGCCAGTTTTTAGGAATTGGATGAACCTGCGCGATGCGGAGAGCGGGAAGATTCTGTGGCAAAGCTCGGAGGATATGGCCGATCCGACGCATGAGCATGAAGGTACGGTGACTTGCGGGGTCGTTGAAAATTGGCAGAGAACTTTTAGGAAACAAATTTTGTTACAGGCAAGCTAGCAAAGGCTATTTGCGGGGGAAAATCGGACGCTCTTGGTGGTACAAGACACCCGTATGGATTTTTGAGCTATGGATTTGTTCGAAATCTTGCCGAGCCCGCGACGCGCAACGCTAAGTCAAACCCATTACGCAATAGAAAGGCTACGCAGTGCGTTGCGTGTCGCCTGCGCGGAAGAAAAATTGAAAATCCATAGGCAAAAATTCACTGTCATACCGTGCCTTGTTCTTTAAAAGATCTTAGACGCGTCGCCGGTGCGTAGCGTGTTATCATAAACATCTATAAAACGCTGTATTGAGACACGTCACTCGTCCCCGACGCGTTTATGAGCTTGAATCAAGCGCGGTGGTCGAAATTGGCAAATAAATGGGTCTCGAAACGATGCATTCTTTGCTGCCATTCTCCCTTTAACCACCTTCCCTTTCCAGCCCATGTCCCGCAGAGCATCCTGAAGTGTCGTACCGTGTCCCGGGAGATCAACTTCACGTCAGCCGAGAAAATCGACAAGTTCAGGCTGGAGCAACGGGTCTTTTTGAAGGGGAATATCATCGAGGGTTCGTTTCCGGGGAGTTGAACTACAAATCCCAAAGGGGGTTTGCGCTGGTGAAACCCATTTTTCAAAGAACCTTTGCTAGTCTGCCTAGGCACCTCGATTCCTAAATGATCTTTGCCAGACTTCCCCTAATAACCTAGTTCCGGAAGAATTTTTGCTATTGCCACTCGTCAAATTTTAGGTTCAAGGTACTCTGCTAGCTTTCTCCAAATCGCGCCGCTCTCCTAAAGAATCCCAGCTAGTCTACCCACGCTGAATTTTGTATTTTTGCTTTTTAAAAATCCCACATTTTCCAGCCATAAATAGCTTTATTTACCAAAATCACATTCTCGTGGCGAGGGCCATTTCGTAAGCTGGGTGGTATTTATGCCATAAATGGCGTCGTGGGAATTGCGTAAATGGGGGGGGATAGGGATGATTCCAGGGGGGTCGCGTGGAATGGGATATCATCTGAGACGATAGCCGTATTCGCCTCATCCGTTCCCTTGGCACCCAGATACGCACACTTAGAGGAGAGAGAGAGAGAGAGCGGGAGAGGGAGTGTGAGAGCGAGAGACAGACAGTGAGTGAGCTAGAGAGAGAGACAGAGAGAGGGAGAAAGAGAGAGAGAGAGAGAGAGAGAGAGAGAGAGAGAGAGAGAAAAAAATAACTTACCGACTTTCAGAATGGTTCTTCGAATTCGGCTTTGTCATCCCGCAGTCGACGAACACTTGGCAGAACCTGATCGAGGCGGCCCCCGAATCGCAAATGTTGCCAGCGGCGTTGCTCAGGTACGGTAGCCGGGGCGCATTTTAAGGTTTCCTAGAAGGCATCATAGGAGCTTTTGGCCCAATTCCTGCCTTGCAAGTTCCTTTAAAATTGCTTATGAGTATTGTAGTCAAAAAATTGTGAATGTTCCTGACTTCGTGGGCCCCTTAAAAACCCTCATTTTCCAGTGGTAATGTGGTGATCGAGACATCGTTCTTCGATGATGATCTCCTCGTCTCGACCTCGACCGTCCGCCTATTTTACGACTAAGGTACCGTACGCCGGTACCGTACGCCCGATTCCATTTTACACCACAAAACACATCGATTCCATTCCGCCGCTCTTTCCGAAAATGTGTACAATTCGATAAATGATTTTTAAAAAAGCCAAGGATGCGACAATTAAGCAATTAAAAATTGCTCTTTCTCTCTCTCTCTCTCTCTCTCGCTCTCTCTAACTCTTGCTGTCTCTCTGTATGGTTTTCTTCAAAACATTTTCATAATCATTTATTCACGGGGATTGACCCAAAAAAATCATGTCGATTGGAAAATTCGGAAAGCGGGGGTAAGGCATCAGAATGGCACTCGTTTCGCACAAAAAGGCAAATAAAAATATAAAAAGACAGAAAGATGGTGGTCCAGGAAATGGAAAATGCATACGGTATACCCGAAAATAGATCAGCAGAAGAAAACGACTCGAGTAAGGGAAGGAGAAAAGGAGTTGAGCGGATCGGGGGGGGGGGCTAGAAGATACGGTAGGCTACGGTAGAGTACGTTAAGGAACCGTAAGCTGCTTCACAATATCATACGATACGGTTGGATACGTTAACTATGGTAGCTCATCGTGGAATACGATAAGCTACGTTAGGCTACGTTAGACCGCTATGTTACTGTAAGGTACGCTACAGTACGATAATGTACTAAATTTTTGTATGAAGAGACGGAGGATACTGTAGGATTACCATTATTACCAGACGATACGGCAAGCTACGTTACACTACGTAGCTTAAGGTGGGATACATAGGCTACGGTATGCTACGTTAGAGTACGCTAAGTTCCTGTAGGGTACGCTACAGTACGGTAAAGTACGGTACGTTTTTAGACAGTAGCATACGTACAGGGTGGGTCAAAAAAAAAGCCAACTTTGCGCCATATTATCTCGCGAACGGTAGAGAATCGAAGGTACGTTACCATGCCAGAATGCTTAAATATGCTGGGTATGAAGATTTAACACAACTTGATTTTTTCGATTTTTGAGTACGCAACTGTACTATTGACGCTGGTTACGACCGAAAAATGTGCGTTCTTGATTGGGTGGTGGGAAAATTCCGATTTTTGGCCCAAAAATCGTTGGCAGTTGTAGAAAAATAATGGCCAAATATTAGAATTTTTTAAGCTCCAGTTCCTTTTTAATAAGTAAAACAAATTTCACTATTTTGTCTCTTTTGACATTTTAATTCGCAACTCGCTTCAAATCCGCTGCCCATGGCTGATCTTTTGCAGATAGTATCTCCGAATGATAATCTTTAGCACAACACCAAATTTTACCTGATTCTATGGTATTTTAATATTGCTTGCTAAAACGCGCCCCAGAGGGATACTGTAGTTTTCGTGTTTCGCGTTTTTCTTTTTATTGTAAGCTGCGATTTCGCTTAAAATTTGATCATTGGTAAAGACCAGTAAGGGTCACCTATGGGCTAAATATTGCCGCATTCGAGCCATACAGTTTTCAAAAATATGCAAAAAACTTATTTTTTAATTTAGCCACGGAAATTTCTAAATATTTTGATGCATCGGACCAAAAACTACTATTATTTGTTTTCCCGAAAGATCGAAACGTTTCTATGGTGAAAAGAACGAGAAAACGGCGATTTTCTGTTTTCTACAGTAACCCGCCTGGAGCGCGTTTTAGCATGCCAAGACAAAATTCCATAAAGTGCCAATTTTTCAACTTTAGAATGTTCTCTGGGTGATTATGAGAACGCAGGCAAAAAATGACTTACTTTCTGTGGTAAATGACAAAGTTATGAGGGAAAGGGAAAAACCCTCCACGGGGCCCGATTTTGGACCCGAGGCCCCGGGCCGAAAATCGAATTTTTGAAAATGAAAAAGTCACCGGATTTTCGTGGATAAAATTAAAGCACGCATCGAATTGTGTATGAGAGCAGAATTCTGGAATGATCTGGCTGAATTTAATGGTTAATTTTGATTTAAAACCCGAAAATCACGTTTTTTGAAAAGCCGACTTTGGGGCGCTCTTCTAAATTCGTTAGCCATGAAAAGGTTTTGTATTTGCATGGGCTCTAGTTGACTATTGATACTTGGGTTATGCCAGAAAAGTCGGGGCTACTAGAGCTTCGAGAATTTTTTTACGTCGCCTCGAAATCGGGTATATTTGGGCTCTTCATGAATTTCTTTTGAGAGATTGGATGGCCCAATAAATTTGTAAATATAATTAGCCAGTTCGTAAGCTGGGTGGTATTTATGCCATAAATGGCGTCGTGGGAATTGCGTAAATGGGGGGGATAGGGATGATTCCAGGGGGGTCGCGTGGAATGGGATATCATCTGAGACGATAGCCGTATTCGCCTCATCCGTTCCCTTGGCACCCAGATACGCACACTTAGAGGAGAGAGAGAGAGAGAGCGGGAGAGGGAGTGTGAGAGCGAGAGACAGACAGTGAGTGAGCTAGAGAGAGAGACAGAGAGAGGGAGAAAGAGAGAGAGAGAGAGAGAGAGAGAGAGAGAGAGAGAGAGATAACTTACCGACTTTCAGAATGGTTCTTCGAATTCGGCTTTGTCATCCCGCAGTCGACGAACACTTGGCAGAACCTGATCGAGGCGGCCCCCGAATCGCAAATGTTGCCAGCGGCGTTGCTCAGGTACGGTAGCCGGGGCGCATTTTAAGGTTTCCTAGAAGGCATCATAGGAGCTTTTGGCCCAATTCCTGCCTTGCAAGTTCCTTTAAAATTGCTTATGAGTATTGTAGTCAAAAAATTGTGAATGTTCCTGACTTCGTGGGCCCCTTAAAAACCCTCATTTTCCAGTGGTAATGTGGTGATCGAGACATCGTTCTTCGATGATGATCTCCTCGTCTCGACCTCGACCGTCCGCCTATTTTACGACTAAGGTACCGTACGCCGGTACCGTACGCCCGATTCCATTTTACACCACAAAACACATCGATTCCATTCCGCCGCTCTTTCCGAAAATGTGTACAATTCGATAAATGATTTTTAAAAAAGCCAAGGATGCGACAATTAAGCAATTAAAAATTGCTCTTTCTCTCTCTCTCTCTCTCTCTCGCTCTCTCTAACTCTTGCTGTCTCTCTGTATGGTTTTCTTCAAAACATTTTCATAATCATTTATTCACGGGGATTGACCCAAAAAAATCATGTCGATTGGAAAATTCGGAAAGCGGGGGTAAGGCATCAGAATGGCACTCGTTTCGCACAAAAAGGCAAATAAAAATATAAAAAGACAGAAAGATGGTGGTCCAGGAAATGGAAAATGCATACGGTATACCCGAAAATAGATCAGCAGAAGAAAACGACTCGAGTAAGGGGAAGGAGAAAAAGGAGTTGAGCGGATCGGGGGGGCTAGAAGATACGGTAGGCTACGGTAGAGTACGTTAAGGAACCGTAAGCTGCTTCACAATATCATACGATACGGTTGGATACGTTAACTATGGTAGCTCATCGTGGAATACGATAAGCTACGTTAGGCTACGTTAGACCGCTATGTTACTGTAAGGTACGCTACAGTACGATAATGTACTAAATTTTTGTATGAAGAGACGGAGGATACTGTAGGATTACCATTATTACCAGACGATACGGCAAGCTACGTTACACTACGTAGCTTAAGGTGGGATACATAGGCTACGGTATGCTACGTTAGAGTACGCTAAGTTCCTGTAGGGTACGCTACAGTACGGTAAAGTACGGTACGTTTTTAGACAGTAGCATACGTACAGGGTGGGTCAAAAAAAAGCCAACTTTGCGCCATATTATCTCGCGAACGGTAGAGAATCGAAGGTACGTTACCATGCCAGAATGCTTAAATATGCTGGGTATGAAGATTTAACACAACTTGATTTTTCGATTTTTGAGTACGCAACTGTACTATTGACGCTGGTTACGACCGAAAAATGTGCGTTCTTGATTGGGTGGTGGGAAAATTCTGATTTTTGGCCCAAAAATCGTTGGCAGTTGTAGAAAAATAATGGCCAAATATTAGAATTTTTTAAGCTCCAGTTCCTTTTTAATAAGTAAAACAAATTTCACTATTTTGTCTCTTTTGACATTTTAATTCGCAACTCGCTTCAAATCCGCTGCCCATGGCTGATCTTTTGCAGATAGTATCTCCGAATGATAATCTTTAGCACAACACCAAATTTTACCTGATTCTATGGTATTTTAATATTGCTTGCTAAAACGCGCCCCAGAGGGATACTGTAGTTTTCGTTTTTCGCGTTTTTCTTTTTATTGTAAGCTGCGATTTCGCTTAAAATTTGATCATTGGTAAAGACCAGTAAGGGTCACCTATGGGCTAAATATTGCCGCATTCGAGCCATACAGTTTTCAAAAATATGCAAAAAACTTATTTTTTAATTTAGCCACGGAAATTTCTAAATATTTTGATGCATCGGACCAAAAACTACTATTATTTGTTTTCCCGAAAGATCGAAACGTTTCTATGGTGAAAAGAACGAGAAAACGGCGATTTTCTGTTTTCTACAGTAACCCGCCTGGAGCGCGTTTTAGCATGCCAAGACAAAATTCCATAAAGTGCCAATTTTTCAACTTTAGAATGTTCTCTGGGTGATTATGAGAACGCAGGCAAAAAATGACTTACTTTCTGTGGTAAATGACAAAGTTATGAGGGAAAGGGAAAAACCCTCCACGGGGCCCGATTTTGGACCCGAGGCCCCGGGCCGAAAATCGAATTTTTGAAAATGAAAAAGTCACCGGATTTTCGTGGATAAAATTAAAGCACGCATCGAATTGTGTATGAGAGCAGAATTCTGGAATGATCTGGCTGAATTTAATGGTTAATTTTGATTTAAAACCCGAAAATCACGTTTTTTGAAAAGCCGACTTTGGGGCGCTCTTCTAAATTCGTTAGCCATGAAAAGGTTTTGTATTTGCATGGGCTCTAGTTGACTATTGATACTTGGGTTATGCCAGAAAAGTCGGGGCTACTAGAGCTTCGAGAATTTTTTTACGTCGCCTCGAAATCGGGTATATTTGGGCTCTTCATGAATTTC